ACAGGGAATCAAAGGATAGCTGTTGGGGACAGGCTCTCTCTGTATAGCTGGGCCCTCTGGCTATGGGTCTGCATGCCAGTCGCAAAACTGAATTCTTTGTTGTGGGTGGGTTAACACGACTGCCGAATTGCTAAAGGGACCAGTTGCTGCACTGGACCTTGGCAGAGTGCCAGTTGAGGGATAGCAGACTGACCTGCAGGTAGTGGTTCTAGACAGTCAAAGGTCTTGTCCAGCCAGGCTTAACAACAACACCTTGATTAATGATAAATCCTGGCTGGCTGCTAAGTCATGGCGTTTGCATCTTCTCCAGTTGTCAGTTCAATTCTTTTTTAAAAAAAAAAAAAGTTCAAATTAGATTTTCTCTTTACCTTCCAAAATTAGGAACACTGCATGAATTTGAATTTGGCTTCCTTATTCTTCTCCTATGGTCTTGTGGTTTGGAAGACATTAATTCATCCCTTATGTGGGAAGAAAGAATCATGGATATTTGCTACCAGAGGGACTTTGCATACCCCCCTGTCCACCCTTTTTCAGAGGACAGTGGGGCTACTTTGAAGGCGACACAAGAAGGTGGAAATGGAATCGAATCCATTTTGAAGGGCTCTGCTGTCTTGTCTTTGTGCAGGATTTGGCAGACACACCCAGGGGACCCAGCACAGGCTGGGAGTGGTCCTAGGCAGTAACTCTCAGCTATAAAGTGCTGCCTTCCTGAGAATAATGTCTTTAAGGTGGCCATTGCTGGTCATGTTGGGGCTAAGCAGAGACAAGAGCTGGCCAAGGCTGTTGACCAGGAACTACTGCCGCCTTCCTGTCTCTGCAGCCAGTGTTCTCTCAGGAAGCAGGAGGGAGCAGGGAGTGCACTTAAGGTCCATTTCAGATCTAGGTCCAGGGCAGGCTCTCTGGGTATGTGACCCAAGACCTGACACTCACAGTGCCACACTGAGAAGGCCCTGTGCGTGGCTGTTTCTTGAATTCCTGGTGCTTATTAGAACATGGTGGGCTGTTTACCCTGCCTTTAGTTACATTCATTTTGCATGTAGACTCCATGGCCTAGTCTGCCTTTGCACGTAGGCTCTGGCATTCCCAGAACACAGGACACATGCCTCACATTCAGTGGCCCAAGAGGTTGTGCTGCTAGGTGAGGGATGGAAGGGCCTGCTGCTTGTGGAATGTTCTGGAGTGTGTCCCACCCGTGATGGCAGAGATTCATGTCTACTCTGGGCTCGTGGTCTAGCAGGAGAGTAGAGCATGCTTTCAGTGAACTACCAGATGTTCAGAGGGCCTGGTAGCCAGTCTCCCTTTCAGGTGAGGACTCCAAGGCCTCCTCCAGATGGAGGGCTGTGTAAGCTAAGGTACTGGGGAACTTGAGGATTCCTCTGCTATGTGGAGCAGGGAGCTGTGGAGATGGGCCTGTGTGTGGCTCACCTGTGGACCTGTGAAGAATTGGAGAGGGTTTTAGGTGAGGTAATATCCTAGTCAGACTTGAGCTGGGCCTTCTGGTGGCTGAGGGAACTTGAACCTAGGGGGACAAACCCTGAGGTATATGCTCCTGGATACTCCAGGAGTTCTTCTGTAAGATGAGGAAGGCCTGGGCCACAAAGGTGGCTGGGCGAAGAGGACTGATTCCGGAAGTAGGAGGTGATTCAGCGGAAGAGTGATCAGGGGTCCTGAGCCTCTGAGAACAGGAAAATCTCACTTCCGGTGTCAGTGTCCAGCCTGGGAAGAAGAGGAGGGGGATCGAGAGGAGGGAGAGAGGGAGGAGGGAGGGCAGGGGCCGAAGAGGACACAGAGAGAAGGGAGGGGTCAGGAGGGGTTATGGTGCTCATGTGTGGTAGTGAGTCACTCAGCTTCCCTGTTAGGGCCTGACTACCTCAGTCATGGATGGGCCAAGAACTGGCTATGGTGAGAGGGAGGCTCCATTCTTAATTGGGCTGTTGAGTCATTTGTTTGGTGCCTTTAGCTAATGGGAACTGGCCAGGGCAGGAAGGGTGTGTCTACCACAGCGGAGGAGGCCAGTAGAGGGGAAGAGAAGATAGAACTGCCTGGTGGTCCTTTGGGACTATGCTGGCTTAAGGACAAATAGGCTGGCCAGACTACTAAACTGAGGGGATGTTGTCACTGGGTGACCCTGGAAAATGCTCCATGGCATTCTTGGGAGGAACAGTAATAGCTAAAGTCTAAGGGCATCCATGTTCGATCCTCAGCTGTGGGCTGTCCTGGGAACACAGATCTGAGGCCATCTGCCCTACCCTCTGGTAACTTCCTTCACAACCCAGTGACAAGACCCCTTAAAGTAACACAATTGTAAGCAACAACCACCTAGTCAGTGTACCTCTAATTAAATTAAATCTTCCTGGGATTCGTAAAGTGGGGGAGCTCAGCCAGCAGTCTCTTGAGAAAGCTGAAATCAGACTAGCAATTTGCTTCCCCCCCCCCATTTGAAACAGAGTCTCTCTATGCAGTCCTGGGACTCAGCATGTAGACCAGGCTGACCTTGAACTCACAGACCCACCTGCCTTTCCTGAGTGCTGGGATTAAAGGTGTGCCCATCAGCAGTTGACCTTCCATGGATTGTAAGCATGGATAAAGGTTGTTCAGAATGATGCTTTCTGAAGGAGATTAAACAGCCCCCAGCAGTTTGCTTTGTTCATTTGCAGTCACTCTTTTGTATTTTTGTTTTGAGACAAGGGTTTACTATATAGCCTAGGACTGCACAGACCTCATGATGCTTCTGCCTTGGCTTCCCAAGTGCTGGGATTATAGGTGTGGGCCCTCATGCCTGGCTTATCTTTCAGTTTTTATTCAGTTTTTGGATTAGCTTTTAGGGTCCTACAAGGATCATAACTTTCTGGGCTCCACCCCTTCCACCTCCAACCTTGTGGGTGGGCCCCTTGAGGAACTGGCAACGTGGCTTCTAGTTTTCTTTCAGCCCGTGGACATTATGGGCTCTCTTTTCACACATGATGATGGTGCTTCATGTTCATAGCCTGTCCGGATGCTGAATCACTGGGAAGCATAGTGGAGATGTGGGTGCTACCAGGAGGAAGCACAGCTAGTGGGTCTGAAGAGATAGATTAGCAGGTGCAGGCACTTGCTACAAACCCTGGCAGTCTGAGTTAGTTGTCCACTGATATCCATATATCACTGTGTGTGCTGTGGCAAATGCATGTATGTACACACAAACACTACTATGCATGCATGCATGCATGCATGTACATACACATACACACCAAAAAGCAAAACAACAAAAACCCCACCATAGCTCTCATATCAAAGAGAAGAAGAATAAAATAGAAGTTTATTTAGGTTAAGCCAAATTCTATGTTTCAACATAGATGTAGTCTCATGATGTTTCTATAGTAACAGAACAAAGAAAGTCATGAATCAAGACAATTTTTAAGTACATTGGTGGGAACATCAGGTAGGCACATACAGCAAAGTGGAGAAATCTGTTGTAGCCTTGAATGCTATCTTAGTTTCTGGGTTGGTGGAAGGAAGCTATCGGTCTGTCTGTATATTCCAAAAGATTTACCTCGATCTTAAGGATGTTGGATCACCACATAGGTGGGCAGTAAATGTCTATTTAGAAGCTAAGATATCTCAAGAGAATTTAGTTCTGCACCTGAAATATTCTAACTCTCAATACTTATTAAGTTCTATCAGTCTTGTTGGCTCTGTATTTGGTGGGTTTTAGTCCCCACCCCCGGAAACTTTAGTTAACACAGCTGTCTTTACTCCTGGTTTTCATGGTCCATCTTCCAAGGGCAGGGAAGGCAGGGGACAAATGCAGCCACAGAAAGGCATGGAGGTACTTATATGACTGTTAGGAAGTGGGCTAGATGCAGTAGCTTAAGGGAGGAGCTGCCTGACCAGGAGTTAGCCTGTCATGGAAACAAGATGCTGGGCAGAGCCATGAAGGGAGGGAAGGAAGGGCAAAGCTGGAGTTGAGTCTGTGGAGCCTGCTAAATCACCACAGGGCTTTAAGTAGGAGAGAGAATTCCCTTTCGAGGGCTTAGGGATTGGGTACCCAATGCAGTGGCTGCTGTCTTTCAGGGCCAGGTTTGATCTGGAGGCAGAGCCTGCAAGGCTGGCTCTGAGCATGGCATGGTGACTCAGAAACCAATGCTTCTATGACTATTTGCCCCTAATAGAAGAAGGGATCTTATACCACAGACTGTAAAACCTCAAACTCCAGCTGCCCCTGCAGCCTGGGTCTCAGGCCCTGCCTCTGAGTCACCAAACTCCAGCCTGGCTCTAAGAGGCTGTCAGCCGACCAGCTCCCGGCTGACAACAGTGTGGCTAGCTGCAGGATCTGGGAAGTCATTTGCTTTGAAAACTAGTTCCCAGGCTGTAGATACCTTGCTTTTTGCCATAATGGATAGTTAGGACTTCTTAGGCTTGAGCCTTTTGGCTTGAAGCTTGTGTTTCTAGGTGCATCCTGTAAGGTCCCCTGGCTGTCCAGGAGGGGGCAGACATCTACCACATGAAGGCTGCTTGCCTTCATAATCCTGGGCCCTAGACAGAGTTGTCACCTAACTCCCCACCCTAATACAGGTCCCAATTGCTCATGCATCCATACTTTTCTCTCAAAATTTGGGGGCAAATTGTGGAGAATTTACAGAATTGTGTTTTAATTTTCAACTCAGAATTTCATTTCATGCACCAAACTGTAAGAATACTTTTTTATAAAAATCTTCAAGCAAACCTCAGACAAGAAAACACCCACCAAGGTCTCCAACACTTGAGCAGTTAATGAATCCCCAGGTTTGTTTTTTTGTTTTTTTGTTTTTTTTCCTGGAGTCGAATGAGGGAGGAAGTTGGAACTGGAGGCTGTGACCTTCACCATGTATAAATCAGAGGAGCCCAAGGAGTAGTGTGCTATGTCTTTAAATAGTCCACTCCACAAATGTGGGTGGGTTGGGTGGGGTGAGAAAGGACGGATGAATGTGCCATTAATGAGCCGAATTCCATTTGAAATAATTCTCCCATTGTGTTCCCAGCACCTCCCCATCTGCTGCCCATGCTAGTCTTGCTCCTCTGGGCTCAGAACATGCAGCCTCAGCTTCCTCCGCAGCTGGTCCTGGAGTAGAAGCCCTCACTGCCTCCAGCCAACACCTGGCCAAGAACATAAACAGGTAATCTACAAGCATTTCTCCTGTAGCAGCTACCCAGGAGAGAGCAAGGCTGGGTGGTCTCTCTCTCTCTCTCTCTGTCCTGTGGTGAGCTGGGTTTAGGATGGTGCCAGCAAGGCACTTACACCATGTCTGTAATCGCTTGGCTTGTAGCTTGGCTTCCTAAAGCAGCTAGTTCTTCTGTAGCAGGAACACAGTGTGTAAGGCAAGGACTCCCAAGAGGCAAAACCGATAGCCTGTGAGTGAAAATGTTCCCTCTGTAGGTTTCCACTTACAGGAGACTGTGGGGAAGGCTAAACTATAAGGAACAGAAACCATTATGGTGGCCCAGGTGGGAGCTAAAAGAAGATCTTAACTGTAACATCACAGCCTGTCCTGCATCTCGACTGTGCTCGTGGTTATGTGACAATGTCAAGTTTATCCAAGAGTGACTGCTCTCTGATGCAGCCAGTTCCCAGGGTCAAGGAGCTTGTCTCGTGCTTCCTGGGTCTTGTAGATATGAGCTGCCTGCTTGCTCTGTGTCTGAGGCTCCCAGGGCGCTCCCACAGAGTGCACTGAGGTGCTGTGCCTTGGAGTGATTACTTCCTGGATTTTCCATTCCAGCACTTTTTGCATCTTGTTCGTTTAATGCATCTGAGAGCCAGCATCATGGACTTGAATTGCTCTGGCTAGACACCATGCCAGGGACAGGACACAGGTCATCTAGAAGATACATGCTGCCTGGCCCTGTGGAGCCTTGAGGTCTCTGAAGGAAGAGTGATGTCCTCTCAGAACACGATGGCTCGGTGGGATTAATTCTGTGTGGGCCAAAAAGGCAAGCATGGTGAGGGAGCAGAGCTGAAGGGTCTTTGGAGTGTAGAGGCTGGAGCCTGCAGCCTCTAAGGGGAGTGGATCGTGGCTCAGCAGGCAGGGCCAGGTGATCATCACCACAGGCCAAGAACTGGGGTCTTATCTTTGTTTCCTTTGGTAACACTTTTTTTTTTAAAGTACAGTTTTGATTTACCAAAGAATATAGTAGATAAAATGTGATGTTCTATTTATCTAACCCATCATTCCCTCTGTTAATATCCTAATAGTATTATTTGTGCACATGTGACACTGTTACCCTATATTGATACATTCTTGTTAACTGAAGTCTCCATTACTTGAAGTTCTGTAATTTGTCTTTAATGCCCTTTCTTGTCCCAGATGTCACTCAGAACACTGTTGCCTTTAGTCTCCCTACGCGCCCCTTGGTTGTGGCAATTTTCAGGTCTGTCTTATTTGGGACCTTGATAGTTAGAACAGTTCTGGTCAGAGTGCCACTCAACTGGAACTTGGTTGATGTCTTTCTTATGATTAGATTGCAACCATGGGTTTTGGAAGAAGAAGACAAAGGGTTTAAAGTATCACTTTCTTTTCTTTTTTCTTTCTTTCTTTTTTTTTAACTAAGGCTGGAGAGATGGTTGGGTAGTTAATAGCACTGGCCACTTCTGTAGAGGCCCGTAGTTCCATTCCCAGGACCCACATAATGGCTCACAAGTGCCTGTAGCTCCAGTTCTAAGACTTCTACCGCCCTCTTCTGGTCTCTGTTGTCTTTGCATACACATACTTATGTGCAGGCAAAACATTCACACACACAAAATAGAAATAAGTAAGTCTTTTATTTTAAATGTAAAGCACATGCCACAGTGTTTATTTGGAGGCCAGAGGACAGCTTCTTGATGCTGGTTTTCACTTTGCACCTTTACATGAGTTCCAGGGATTAAAGTCAGGTGGCCAGGCTAGTACAGTAGACACATTTGCCTGCTGAGCCAACTCTCAAGCCTAAAGGTATCATTTTTTTATAAAATGGAGGGTCCCAGTGTCAGCACAGCTGATGGCTGTTGGTGTTGGCTGGCTGGCTTCCCTTGACTGTCCTACAGCTTCTGGGAGGGTGTCAGTGTGTGCTGTCCCACTGAAGGGCAGGGAGCTATTCTCCCTTCTGCTGGGGGTGGGGGGCTACATAAGTTATTTATGATCCTTTTGAATGGGAGATTAGTCTCTTCTCCCCCATTTGCTAATGTATTCAATCACTTATTTATGTCAGTGTGGACTCATGGGTATTTATTTTATACATTGTGCTCTAATCCAAGGCTGCTGTATTTCATTGCACACAGCTTTAGCCCTGGGCTTCCTTGCCTGTCTTTTAAGTGTGCCCAGAAGCCCCTGGGCAGAACAGTGATGTGATCAGATTTGCATTTTTAAAAGGCCTTGGTAGCTGCCTGTCAAGGCGGCAGGCACTTGAGGATTGATGGTTGATGAGCCCCGAGGCTCCATACCCTGGCTCAGCTGTATCTGACATGGGCCTGCTGGGCTCCCATCGCCTGTGTAAATGTGCCCTCCATCTCTCCTGTCTCCATGTTGTTAGTCATAAGGCCAGTGCCTGGATGCAGGCGTCCATGTAAATCATGTCTTTCTCCTGATGAGACCTTGGATGGGCCAACTCTGGTTTCAACAATACACAAATTAGCACTTCATCTCATTGAAATGGAAGGTTTGATTCACCAGCTTGGCCAGAGTCTGAGGTTCTTTTTGGCCACAGGATAGAGGTTATATCCCTGCTCTGTTTCCATTTTCCATGGAGATTCTTCTGTCAGGGCCAGCTGCTGCCTGTGTTTTCATGAGGCACAGGCAACCACAGGCCCCATGGCTGTGGCTTTGTTCTCCATGTTAGGCCTTGGAAGGGGAAAGCCAGCAGTGAGACCCGGTCTCCTGGAAAAGGCACATCTCATTAGCTCTGCGGATGCTCAGTTATTGCAAGCCTGCTGGGCACCTTCTGCAGCCTCCCACTTCTGGAGGCTGCTGTGGACATGCTGTTATAACCCCACACTCCAGGCAAATAGCTTGCTTCCCCACTCACTCCCTTGTACCCACTGGTGATCATTTGGCCACATGCTTGTGGAGAAGAGATGTGCCTTGAAGAGAGAGGAAGGGGAACCCACTTAGAGAGGGCTTAGCATTCTGCTGAGCAAACCCTCCTGAAGGCATAAGCTTCTCTTAGGAGAGAGATGGTGACTGCTGTGTCATACTTCTGGCTACAGTACTGTCTCCTCCAGCATGGCCGTCTTGAGGCCTTACCATGACCTTCCTGTGTTGTTGGGAGAGTTGAGAGGCTAGGGAAGCAAAGTGAAAGCCCTCCTTCATGTGAGTGCAGCCTGAGCCAGTACTGCACACCTTGAGCCAAACGCTTGGTATGTTGGCACCAAGGCCCAACTGACTATCTCCCTTGACCTCCACCCTGACCTCTCACTATCCCTTCTGGGGACAGCCATTTCTTAAGAGTCAGTGGCTTGGAAGCCTGGCTTAGGACTACCTACCTGAGCAGGCCCAGAAAAAGCAGTCTGGAAAGGTAGCTAAGCTCTCTCAGGGATAAAGCTGGTTCTTCAGTGTCAATGCAGGGGGCCCAGAGAGCAATGCACTATGGGAAATGCTGCCCTAAACCACAAGGCTGTGGGCTTGCCAAGCTTTCTGATAAACTGTTCCCACGTGGCCCAAATAGTTTCCATCCCTCTGCCAGAGCTCACCAAAACTCAAGAGCTTTTGCTTCTCCCCTAAGCGGAGACCGGAGCTCCGTGGGAACCGCTGCACACAGCTTCACACTCAGGCCCTCTGCGAGGTCCCCACCCCAGTAATTCATTTTGTAGGTAGAGTCTTGATTAGGTTTTGCTGTTGGTTGTTATAATGAAATACACAAGGCAGGGTAACTTTATAAAGAAGAGGCATCTATTTAATTAACCAATCTGGAGATTGAATGTCCGAACAGGAAGGCATGGGTATTGGAAAGCACGTCTCCAGTTCCCTTGAATGCTTCACCACAGAGCATCACATGCGAGAGTCTGTCTAGTCTCTGTCCGAGACTTACTGAGAGGGCTCTCTGCACTAATACCCAAACCTACGTACACCCCAAAGGCCCCACCTCCAACTCAGTTTCCACTTTCTTCACCCTTAACTGTCTGTGGCTTTGAGGATGAACCTTCTGTGTGGGTTTGTGGGAACTGACCAAAGTATACACAAACCATAGCAGACCTGCATAGTCTTCTGATGTCGGGGGAAAGGCTGGAGTGTTGGGGATGAGAGTCTCTGTAGGCTAGACCCTGTGCCCACCAAACTGGGATCTACTCCAGTGTTCCATAAGCCAGGTTCCAGCCATTGCTCTGTACTGAGATCCTCTGTTCCATGGCATCCTAGAAACGAACATACAACATCTCCCTCCCACTGAGACAAACACAGGCAGTCCACCTAGGCTTTCTGGCTCCTGCTTCATCTCCTGTACATGATCAGGGAGCTGCTAGGTACCTAGATTTTGCTGTGTGAGTCTGCTTTCGCTAAGTAGGTCGATCTCAGAGACTTCATCTGGAGGCTTGGGCAAAGGGGAGCTTTGCTTCCCTCTCTAGAAAGGTTGAGTCCAAAGCTGCTTCGTCTCTCTGGGTGGAAACAGTTGGGGAGAGAATGGCCTCAGGATCCCACCCCTGCCACTGCTCCCTTCTTCTGGGAGGTGAGGCTGGGAGCAAATCGCCCGCTGGTCCTGATGGGTGGTGTACAGCTGGAGGAAAGCTGTTGACTTTCTACCCTGTGCCCCTCTGGGTGGGATTCCGAGGTTCTAGAGGAGCATGGAAGGGAATCATCCACCTCCCCATCTATCCATCCATCTACTCACACATCCATCCGTTCATCCACTCATCCACCTACCCACAGATAAACCTACCCAGTGATTTAGCAGCCATATCCTACTTGAATCTATTCGACACTCTGGTATCAAACTTGGAGGTCACAACTTGTGCCTCAAGCCAGGTTCAGCTGCCGGTCCTCAGCAAGCCCACCGAAGGAAGTCAAACTAAAAGTAGAAAGCAAAAATAAATGAATAATAATAGAGATTTGTTCGCCACATTGGGAAGAGAGACAAGAGATCCGGTGAGCCTCTCCACCCCACCCCAAGTCTGTCTTTGGGATCCTGAAATGAGATTACAGTTTAAATACAGGCC